CAATTGTTGTGAACAACTTGTAGTCATTATTCTTGTTAAAGTCAAATCTTGTCCTTCTTTAGGTATTAATGCTACATTAGCTTCTTTCCAATTCTCTGGCATATTTCCACCCTGTAGGATAGAGTTCATCATGTTTTATAAAGGTTGTAGAAGTTCCTCCTCAAAACATTTATAATAAGAACCTGATAATCCATCTGGTCCAGGTACCTTTCCTAGTTTAATTTTTTTCATAGCTTCAGAAATTTCCCTAATTGTTAAAGGTCCATTCATAATCTGTCTCTGTTCCTTTGTAATCCTCAGTAAATTTTGTTTTTTTAGATATTCATCTATTTTCTCTAGAGAGATGTCACTTCCCTTATACAAATTGGAATAATATTGATGAAATGCTTTTTGTATGGCTGCATTGTCCATTAATACAATATCTCCCTCTTGTAATTTCAATATCATTTTCTTTTCTTTTTCTTTACATAATTTATATGCTAGCCACTTCCCTGGTTTATTTGCAAACTCAAATTTTTTTTGCTTTACATTATTAATTTCTATTTCCATTTCTCTTACTGTTAACATAGATAATTGTCATTTTAAAAATTTAATTTGTTGGGAAATACTTATATTCTCTGGAAATTTCTTTAATTCTTCTTATTTTCTCTTTATTTCATCCAAAATAGCTTTGTTTTCTCTTGACTTTTCTTTTTAAGTTCACTATTGTGTTGTATAAAATGACCTCTAATAAAAGCTTTGCTTGCATTTGCTTCTTAAATCAGTGTCTTTCCCTAAATTATTTTAAAAGAATTCTTTTAATTTCTTCTTACAGTTCTCCACGATTGCTTATTTCTGTAGCAACATTTCGTTCAGTCTTCATCTAAAAGAATTAGATGTTCTTTTATAAACCAACTCACAGGATTATGATCCAAAAATGTTTTTGGTAATATCTCTACTCTAGAAATCTTAGTAGCCAAGTTCTTTAAAATCCAAATCATGTCTGTTCTTGAAAAGGATCTCCATCTTTCAGAAAAATAGGTATACTCTCTTGAATTGCCATTTTTCTGTCTCCATATATCAACCAGTCCTAAATTGCCCATCAAATCAAAGAAAACTTTTGGTAATTTGCCTTGAGAGACTTTAATACTTTTCTCAAAAGTTCTGTCCAGTTATGGGGAGATCACTCCATTCCAATCCCCCATCAAACCCAATTTTCGTAAGAGAAACCTATTAGTCTCTCCATAAGTTGTTTATAAAGCAATATATTGTCCTTAAATACCCAGTATTAAAGTCTTAGTCCAATGTGTATTAACTTCTACCCAACAAATCTACCATGCTCATCAGTCAATAAAAGTTCTGGTTTTAGTTGGGGATTTATATACAAAACAACTTCATTTCTTTTTCTTTTTTCTTTCTTTCTTTCTTTCTTTTTTGTTCCTGCTGAAACAAATTCTTCACCAAAATTTTAATGAATCAAATATTTTTGTCCTTTTTTCTAATGTGTGTCTCTTATAGGCAAATTATATCTTGTTTTAATTTTTTCAAGTAATGAAATAGTTTTCTCCTCTTTTGAGGAGCATTTGCTCCATTTATATTCCACATTAAGCAT